GAATCTAAAGCTATCTTTAAAAGAAAACTGGCTAGTAGGCAGGCAAACTGTTGACTACATTTTACTATATTTTATTATTTGTACATATTTTTAGTGTAGTTGTACAGTATTTACTTCTGTTTCTATACGGCTTTCATGTTAAGAAGTTATGTAACTTATGAAATTACCGTATTCAAATAAAAGTGAGTCAATCAATCAATCAATATATCTGTCTGTCTGTCTGTCTATCTATCTGTCTATCTGCCTATCTATCTATCTATCTATCTATCTATCTATCTATCTATCTATCTATCTATCTATCTATCTATCTATCTATCTATCTACCTATCTATCTATCTATCTACCTATCTATCTATCTATCTATCTATCTATCTATCTAAGATGCATGCTGTGCGCAACCCTAAACATTGTACTCTGAGACTGTACGGAGATATTAAATGTAGATACTAAGCAGCTATGGAAAATGTCATTACTTTCACGCGATATTCATATCTTATAAAACGGACAACAAATTCAGCAGGAATTCAAACGAACTGAAGTAACTGTGTGTTGTATAAGGTTCTGTTAAACTTAAACTTTTTTCCTGTGCTGAACATATACTGTACCGAGCCGTATCTTGGTCGGGTACAAAGAAGCTATTTATATTTATACTGACAGAGTCATGGGCCCCTGATACCGATAAAAATCATCGTTCAATTTTTCGAGTGTAAAATCCCTGAAAGAGTACTCCTCAATGGAGCAATATCAATATGTAGAAGGTTTTCAAAGGTTTCACACCAGTTTGAGACTAAGATGTGCGGCCTGTCTCTCCTTGCAATGTTTACTTTTTGAGTATATACATCATGACATACAACACTCGTTGTGTATTCCAAACGAAAAAGTAGTATAACAGCACCGGGGCCTTTGACAACAAAACTCATCTCCAAGCAAGCGAGACTCAACGCTACTAAGAGCGTTCTTGTTGTTTTATATTGCACACATGAACTTAAGTTAAGCAAAACGCATCCAAGAAACAGCAGCCAAACGACACATCAACTTGTTCGCAACTTTTTACAGCGTTCAAGCTATTGTCAACAAAGACTCCAGACCAATCTTAAGGATTTGCCAACGAAAATTTAATGCGAAAGCTCCTTGGTTTTGTAAAGAAACACTTTCATTTTGAAAGATCCTTGAAAAGACACGAAATGTTGCTCCACGGCTGTTGGAGCAAGTGATCCCTCCGTTGTTTTTGCCATTAAGAAAGGCGACACCTTTAAAGCTCCTCCTGAAGTGAGAGAAGGAAGATCCCTCAAGCGTTACAACAAAGAACAATTCATAAAGGACATTGCAGCTATTCCCTAGAGTATTTTGGAGTCTTTCGATGATATCAATAATGCTGCGGGCATCTGGAACGATCTTTTTGTTGATGTTGCAAACGGGCATGCACCTTTAAAGAAAATTAGAATGAAACGTTCTTCCTAGCCGTGGATTTCAAATGACCTAAGAAAGCTAATGGCTGAAAGAGATTATTCTAAAAAGGTTGCAAAAAAATCTGGCGTGAAGGAACAATGGGATAAATATCGAAGTCTCAAAAACCTAACAAACAAAAAGTTAAAATCGGCTGAGGCTTTGCACTCTACGAACTTGATCGAGTCTGCTGCAGATCTAAAGGAGCACCTGCGCTCATTAAATTACGTTGTTGGTTCTAAGAAAGATTGTGGTTCGCCTTTACATGTACAAGACGGCAAACATCTACTATTAGAACCAAAGGAAGCTGCGACGAAGTTCAATAGGTTTTTTGGAACTATTGGCACTAAAATAGCAGGGCATCTACCTCCTGTGGATACAGATGCTTGGAAGAAGTACGAGCTCGAGAGGAAGTGTGATGACAGAGAACCCTGGGACTTGCAACAGGCTGGATACTAAGACTGTGGAGGAGATTCTGCGTTCCTTGAAAATAAATAAGGCGGCTGGCCTTGATAAAATACCTGCGAGACTGCTGAGAGATACTACCAAGGAGCTAACTCCGTCAATTAAGTCTCTGGTTTCTGGAACAGTCCCAGCATTGTGGAAAGTGGCGCGCGTTACCCCCTTACATAAGACCGATGATACGCTGCTAGTTGAGAGCTATCGCCCTATCTCTGTACTGCCTGCGTTGATTGAGCAAAGTTATGGAAAGAGTTGTACATACTCAGCTGAGTATTTATTTAGATCAGGTAGGCTATCTTTACAAACATTATATGCAATGGCGTTATGTAATCGGTATACCGCGTGACTAATTTTTCAACATCGCTGTTAAAGCATTTGAAACCGTTCATTTTTTTTTCATCTACTACGGTGAAAATAAGATGGTTATTAAGTCCGTTAGAGCTAGAGAGCAGAAAACGTTGTGTGCTATGTTAATTTCTATTTTCGGACCGTCTACCATGCATCAATCCACGGTCTACCATTCTGCAACAGTTACATCACACACGTAACAAGTACACTGCGTCCGGTACGATCCTTGTCGACGAATAATAACACAGCCATGCTTTGGTTTGAAACAAAGAGAATAAGGAAACTTTATGCCAAAGGAAGGATATTTTTAATTTTGATGACTCTTGAAAGAAAATAGATGCTTGTCGTGTCATGGTGTGTCACCATAAAAGGATTATCCTTGTAAATGTGCACCTTCAGTAATGAACAAAAAAAATATAATATATCATATTTATCTCACATGATGGTAGACCGTGTAGACCGTGTAGACCGTTGAAGCACGTAAATTCCTGACATTGCTGTGCTGGAAAATTGCTTTTTTTGGGCACAGTGTCTTCCTTTTTGCAAAAAAAAAAAATTTAGTCACCAAATACAGAACTACAAAGCCACGTTATATGCGAGCTCTCGCGACTATGTTACTGCAATACGCGCGTGAATTTTTATGTTATCTGATGCCTAGCCCCACACTCGGGCTTCAAAATCGAAATAAAGTTGTAAGACGACCAAAGAGTAAACACAAATCCAAACTTGTGTTAAGTAAAATCACAACAGCTGCTTTTTAGCGTAACTTTTCTTTCCTGTAAATGGCAGGCCATAAAAGAGGAACCACGTCCACGTACTTATCAGAAACAACAACAAAAAGCTATCTCCTTGATCTAGCGGGGCATCTTACGTCACTTTCCTTTCATAAATAAACATCTTTTAACCGAGTTCGAGGAAAATATATTATTTTTCGCATCTTTGTATCGTTTTAGGACCAAAAACCCCTTTCGTTGCAGCTTAATTAAGATGGTGTGGCATCTTTTGCCACGTGCTTTCTTTAAAAGCCCAATTTCTTGCATATTACCAGATAAACAAAAGGGCCAAAAACTGCCGTTTTTGTCTCGCCATTTTTAAACACGCAAACCTAGGAAAATGAAATACTGTTCTTTATAACCACCTCCTTAGGGGCTACGAGTGCACCACTTTTTACCCCGTTTAATAATCGTGCACCACGGCTATAGGGGTATGAAGGACTCAGACAACCAGTTGCAAAGATGTTGAGACACTCCCACGAAAAAACGACCTTTCTGATCCTGCTTCAAATCGCTCCTGGTCACAGGTCTGTGAGATATAATAGTGACCTACTGAGAGGGATCTTTTAGATTTCTATGAAAGCCCCTGCTTTGAAACTCCCCAGCATTCAGTGCTTCAGAATTATACTTCAGAGCATTCGACTCCATGTCTGACAATGCAATACCATCTTTATCTCGCTACAATCACAGCGATTTACAGAATTCAACAAGAAAAACAAGACGCTATAGGAGCGCACGCTTGGGAGTCGGAAAATCTTTTAACCTTCTTCGGCACAGCAAGGAAGCCATTATCTAAATTTGACAACCGTCTGATTCTTAAAGAATACCAAGACCTAACGTGGACTTTTATAATCCAGCTCTCCAAAGAGGAGTGACTGGCCTCATGGCTATTATCCAGAGATCGCTTTATTTAACAGAACATGTTTCAGCCACAATTTTACAGAAACGCAGAGTGGCAGTCCTATCAAAAGTCAACAAAGTTGTCAGCAGTCAGCAGTATACTACTGGTCGACGGGAAAGACGGCGGCTACAGCCCTGTTACAAAGCTAACGAATCTAAACTCCTTTGTGGATGTCCAATATTTCAAAAAAGAGGGAATTCGTATGTTAAAAGACCTCCAAGGAGACTTCATTTTCATTTATTTTTCATTTTCAGACTCATAATCTGCAACGCGTTTTTCGCCCCGGGAGGTTAGACCCTTATATAGGCTATATAGGTATGTGCCGCGCCAGAAGGTATGTTTTTTTTAGCCATTTTTGTCTGAAATAGGGTATCAATTTCGACCATTCTGGTCTGAAATAGGGTATTGTTTGTGCACTCTAGTCTTAATTGGATTTAGCTACTTCTTCATCATTTGGCGATAACACCATATTTCTTTTAATGTTTACGTCAACTACCGTGTACGTGCCGTAACAGCTTGTCACGCGCTCCGGTCACGAGCAGGGCTCCAGGGCTTCAGGTCTGAAATAGGGTACCAAATTTCTGATCAGGTCTGAAATAGGGTAGGGAAAATCACAGATTTTAGTCTGAAATAGGGTAAGTGTTTCAGGAAGCGTCCTGCACACCCCCACCCAATTTTTCTGGAAGTACCCACCCCCCATCGGAATTTTTGATCGTATTTAGGACACAAAAGGGAGGTCATTGTGTCAGGCGTTCCTTGCGGAGACCGTGGAAACTGGGACCAAGCATCGTTGCGTGATGGAAGCCACACATGGTTTGCGAAGAAAGCTTAGGAAAGATTAAATTCAAAGCTTTTCCGAAACGTGTCGGTCCACGACTTCTATCGTTTGAAAGCGTTGATTACTTTGGAACAATTTAACACTACTGAGTGGTCGGAAAAAAAATAAGGATGGTCGGGTGTTGTAAACTTTCACTGTATGCCAATGGGTCTTGTGAGGAGCATGCGATTTTTTTCCGGCGATGATTGAAATGAAGTACAATGTAGATAACTTTTTTGATATCTGGCAATGATGTATATTCTCAGGAATCGAGGCCCTTGAATTTTCGTGTATTTATACACGCGTATAGCCTGCTACCACAGAGGTATTTCTGGTCGTCCCTAACACGCGTACTAGATCAATTCAGAAACAAATAAAAAGTATCGACGTCGATAAGGTAAAAAGTAAGAAACCTTTAACGAGTAAATAACGTTTCTTGTAGAATTCATCGCCTCCTCATTTCTCGATCTAATCTCTAAGCAGGCGAGACTGAAATGCCCCTGTAAGTGCGTTCTTGTGTTTATCAACAAGATGGGGGGGACCAAATCTCGTGTCCTGGCCTCTCTGTTTCGCGACCTTTGGCAATGCTGTATACAGAGGCATATTAGGGTGTCTGCCACACACATTCCGGGCATCTTGAATGTGACAGCAGACAGGGAATCCAGGTTTCACCTGGACTCCTTAGATTGGAAAATTTGCCCAGCAGTATTTGACACACTTCTAACTGATTATACAAGGGACCTTGAAGTATAAGATACATTATACGAGAAAATGACACGGAATGTAACAATGTAATCCCACCCACGCCCGTTACCCCTCTTTTTAATATTTTCTTTGCTTTGGCTTTTTCTCCTCTGCTGTCTTTGAGGTTGGCTATCGCAACGAAAAGACGCTCCGTTGGCTGACCGCAAGTCCTTATAGGGACCACGGGGCTGTTGAACTCGTTTTTCGTGTTTGTTGGTTCTTTTTTTTGCTTGATGAATTCTGTAAATCGCTGTGATTGGAGTGAAATAAAGATGGCGTTGCATTGTTACATTCTGCAAGTCTCATGTTTCTCGTTTGATGTATCTTTTCATTCTATGCTTTAAATTTCTCTTAAGTAATTATTCACGTGAAAATTAGAGCATAATAACTTACATAATTCTTTGTTACATATTCCGTGATACGTTGAATTGATTGGCTGCTGAAAACCTAAAAAAGACATGCAAAAATAATATTCATCGATGAGATCACGATTTGATTCCTAATATAACCATGCTCAAAAACTGCTGCAAGGAAATCGACGTTCGTTTGGTCATAACGAGTCCACATGTATTATATGCAGTAATGTGCAAAAGAAATGAGGGCGAACTTCGCCAAAATTCGGTAAAAATTCGAGAATCTGGAAAACAATTTGCGAACTTTCTTTTCTGACGGGAAAGAAAGGGGAAATTTCGGCATATCTATTAGCCTTTAACGCAAACGCTCTTAGGGTTTCGACAAAAACGCGTTCCTTCCCCACTAACACTCTGTATCTATGAGGGTCTGTTTCAAAGGGTGGGGGGGAGGGTAGGTTTGACGGTTGACGGTTCTCAAGAGAAAATGTTTCTTAATCAACCTTAGTATTTTCAATATTGACTACACTGTTTCAGAGGCCTTTCACTCATGAAATGAAGTAAAAATTTTTCAGCGTTCAATAGAACCTATGTTAATACAAAATTATTATAAAATAATTTTGTTAAAACTATTTGGACACGATTAAGGGTAACTACCATCTAGAGCAATTACAGATCATACAGTGAGGACTTCTCCTCTCACAATGGAGACGTCTGCACAACTGTTATGCTCAATATTATAAGAAGTTCATACCGCTCGATTCCTCTTGTGTATTACGATAAAAGATCTCCATGTCTTCGAAGTCTCTCAACATGATCTCAACTTGACATTTTAGGGAATGGTTTGGCCAGAAACAAGTTATCAAATGTAGTAAATTATAACTTAGATCAATAGAGGTTCCTGAGGAGATGCTAAAATAATGAGATTTGAAGGACGTTTAAATCTTTTTTACGGTTAACATCTAATTGCCTTTTGATGGTTGACGGACAAATAGGTCGTTGGACGGTGGACAGTTACACACGGCTTTGAGACCCACATCTATAGTTGGCGAAATTTCGAAAGC